GAATCAATTGAAATTAAGCACAGCATACCACCCACAAATTGATGGGCAGTCTGAAAGGACCATTTAAGTGCTTGAAGACATGTTGAGAGCTTATGAATTAAATTTGCCTGAGAGTTGGTATGATCATCCTCCATTGGTAGAGTTTGCTTATAATAATAGTTTTCATTCTAGTATTAAAATGGCACCTTATGAATCTCTTTATGGCAAGAGATGTAGACCTCCAATTTGTTGGGTAGAAGTTGGTTAAGGATGACTAATGGGGCCTGATTTTGTGCAACAAATAATAGAAAAAGTGAAATTGATTCAACAAAGGCTTAGAGTGACTCAAGATAGGCAAAAAAGTTGTACAGATAATAGAAATAGACCTTTGGAATTTGAAGTTGGAGATCATGTATTTTTAAAGGTGTCACCAACCAAGGGAGTGTATAGGTTTGGTTTAAAAGGAAAGCTTAGTCCAAGATATATTGGCCCATTTGAGGTTTTTGAAAAAGTGGGTGAAGTGGCTTATAGAATTGCATTGCCTTCAAAGTTGTTAAATGTGCATTGCCTTCAAAGTTGTTAAATGTGCACAATGTTTCATGCGTCCGTTTTGAGGAAGTACGAGCTGGATCCTTCACATGTCATTAATCATGAGCCATTGGAGTTGAAGGAACATTTAAGTTACACCTAACAACAAGTGCAAATTTTGGATAGGAAAGAAAAAGTTTTAAGGAACAAAACCGTGCCTTTGGTGAAAGTGTTGTGGCAGCATCATAATGAAAATGAAGCTACATGCGAGCTTGAAATCAGATGACGGAGCAATATCCACATCTATTCTAGTAAGCATGATGATCTAATAGACCAAATCCTTTTAAGGTGGGGAGGATGTAGCACCCCATATACTTTAATGAATGGATTAAAAATTAGAATCCTTTATTTTAACATTTTAGGGACTAAATTGATTAGATTTAGAATATGTGAACCTTATGCGAAATCCTGAGATGGTTGAAAACTATCTAACTATTTTAACCAAATTTCAGACATGTGGCAACATGACTACCAACCTATTTCACTGAGGCTTCCTTTGGAAGATTTTAGGAAGAAAAATCCCTTTTTTTTTTTTTTTGCCTTAAACTCCTGAACACCCATTTCCCTCTACCCTTTTGAGCTTCTACCAAAGAGAGGAGACTTTTGAAGATTTCAGCATGGAGCAAACTATTTAGTGACTTTCTTCTTCAACTTCTACTATTAATTCCTATTATTCTCTTCAATTTGGTGCTTTGATTTTCAAGTAAGTATGAGTTTTAGTTACAAATTTGAGTTAGTGTTTTGGGTAGATAATAGATCTACTATAATATACTAAAAATTAATTTAAGTTAGTAAAAATTTGACTCTAGATCCTTTGTTGAAGGGACTTTTCGAGTACTAAAGTTGGTTTAGGAATATTTGGGTTTTGGGTGTATGCATCGATGTTGGGACATAATTTAGGAATGTGTTTTAAATTTCATAATTGGTTTTAGTATGAAGATCTATTGTTTATAATTTCTATTGTTGCTATGGACTTCATGTGCTTGCTTAGTGTGATGATTTTTTTATAAATTAATATGGCAAAATAATTCCATTTATTTGAAATTTGAAATGTTGTCTATGATTTTGGATGGGAAATAGTGTTCCTTGATTATTATGATCATGCGTTAACTGCATTATTAAAATAAGAAAATAATTCCTAATTTTGGGATGAAAGCTATGAATTAGTGTTAGAAATTTATTATTAATTGCTATAGAAAAGCATAAATGGAATTAATAAATAAATGAAAATGTTCCTATATTATTTTGAATGTGCTTTGAATTTGTTTGATATGTGTATGTGTTTGTGGTTATAGAGTAAGTGGACCTAAGCTTAAAGCTCGAGGTATTTAATGGACCCTCTGGGTAATTAGTGGACCTTTGCGTAGTAGGTGAGTGTCATAATTAGCTCCGATACAAGTGTTACTAGCACATATTAGTGGATTTCATAGCATTGTGTGATTTTCATTTAATGCATTATGCTTATAATGTCACATTTGTGAGTATAAGGTTTTATGATGTGAATTTAACTTAAATGTTATTGGTTATTCCCTGACATGTTTGATTGTCTATGAGCTAATTTGTGATATAAAATTATTATTTAAATACTAGAATTTATAATATTATGTGGTTTGATTTAATTGTCTATGCCCTTTGTGTGTTAGGTTTAAGGGTTTTAGGACCTAAGTTTGTAGCTTTAACTTATTACTTACTGGACTTTTAGCTTATGATATTGGCAAAATACCCAAATCCACCCCCAAAGTATAGTGGCAGGGACGAATCCACCCTCGAACAAAAAAAGGGGACAAATCCACCCACAAAGTTTTTGACTTGGATAAGTTACCCCAAATTTAACGTGTGACATCATCTAACATCAGCAATCTGTTAATTCGTTAACGGATTGTTGATGTCAGATGACGTCAAATTAACAGATTGTTAATGTCAAATAATATCACACATTAAATTTGAGATGATTTGTCCAAGTAGAAAACTTTGTGGGTGGATTTGTCCTCGTTTTTTGTTCGGAGATGGATCTATCCCTGCCATTATACTTTGGGGGTGGATTTGAGTATTCTGCCTATGATATTCCCCCCCCCCCCCCCCCCATTTCAGATCAATAGATTGGAGTAGCAATCATCAGCTTGTGAGTTTCGATATAGGTCCCATATGCTCGTTATACGTAGAAGCTAGGACCTCATGCTTTTCATGTAAAGGCAAATCAATGTGTTACTAAAATGATGATTCTATTTTTATTATTTTGAATAGTTTTTGAAAAGCATTTGCTCTCATATAATTTTTGTGTAAATTACTTTTATGTATTTAATCTATAAATTAATGAAAAATAGGCTCAAACTATGTTATTTCATAGGTTTGGGCATTTTATATCTTCCTTTAAAATATATTTTTGGTAAATTGGTTTTCCATTTATAAGTGTTTTCTTCCATAAGTTATATTTTATATAATATGCAAACAGAATTTTTTTACAAGGACACATTTTATAATTTGGAAGTGTTTTATTTCTGCTGCGTTATATTTTTTTGAAGTTGTTGTTTTAGGACTACCTAAGGACTAAAAGTACCTAAGGGAGGTGTGTTACAAGAAATATTTTGGATGTAGTGCTCTCAATCTTAAAATATTAACAATTCAACTCTTAAGTCAAACATCATGTTCTTCGAGGTGTGAAAGAAATTGGAGTGTATTTGAAAGAAGATACACTACAAAGAAGAATAAATTGGAACAGCAAAGATTGAATGATCTTGTCTATGTGCATTATAATTTGCATTTGAAACATAGATAATTTATTTAATCTATATAATAATTGTATTTTATTCATAATGTTTCATTTCTTATTGTTTATCTATTCTTCTAATTTTTTTTTATGGAACTTCTATTTTTATCTTGAATAATAGAAATGATAACAAAAGAGAAAACTTGCTTTGATCCTATTGATTATGAAAGCATAAAGAATGATGAGGAATGGATCATGCAAGAAGATGATTCTCCAATTTTTGATTAAAATGAATTGGAGAATATGATCTATAATGATAAAACGATACCAATATGTCATACAACTCAAAAATAAGGTTAATAGCTAATTAAGGCTTTAAAAATGGTGTTTTGATTTTAAATTTATCATGTCATTATGTGAGTTATTTTGTTGATTATGTACGAGTTAAGTTCCAATTATGATTTATTTTGTTGATTTTTATTGATTACATGTTTTCATTTTTCAACTTTTAAGGTAGCACACATGATATTAATAAAGAAGTGTAACGAGGTGAAGGAGGGTCATTCTATATTAGTAATGCAAGTGGAGGAATTGACTTGGAGTCAATTGGTGAAGAAAATGATGATAGTTATAATAATGAAAATGATTTTTGTGAATATAATGCTTGGTTTAATGAAGATCCTACTCACGTAGGGGAAAAATAATAAACAAATTCAACTTATGCATCATTTGCATATTGGTTTGAGTTTTTGATTCTTGTTTTTCATATATAATTTTGAGACTTGTATGACACTATTCTTATTTTTAAAACTTGTTTTTATATATATATATATATATATATATTTGGCTTTGAGACTTACTTTGAATACTAGGATATGAATTTATATACTTATCAAGTTGAATTTATATTGAAGATTGCTATACAAGGTTAGAAATTGCAAGAAAAAAAAAAGTGAAAGACAACAAAATGATGCTACAACCTAGAATGCCCAAAACAACTCTTTTTTCATTTGACTTGGCCAGTTGGCTAGTTCAACTAGTTAGATGCATGGACTAGAAACCAGTGAGTAAAACAGTTTTATCACTAGTTTGGTCTAAAAACATTGATACCAACGCTTTAGTGCCATCTTAGAAGGATACTTGATTTCCTTTAATAATTGTTTCACTAAGATTATTTGCAATCAGATGGATTTTAATATTAAGTTTCCATGGCAAATAATTTGAGCTTCTTATATTAAAGGCAGTAAATTCAAGTTTTGTTAAGGTTGATATTGTGGTTGTAAAAATTTATTAAATATTGAAATCAAATTAAAACTAGAAAATAAAGGATTACCTTAAGAGCTTACCACAAATTGAATGGTTGAAATGATCGTGCTGATAATGTATTATAAAATAAAAGACAAACAAAAGTGACAATTTCTTATTTTACCATATACTCTTCTATGTACCAATCATACAAACTTGTAGGTTAAGGGACATGTGGGGTTACATTAGTCATTTGAATAGGACTAAATGAGAGAATGAATGGGCACCTTAGTGAAGCCATGAATGACACCTTAATGGACACCTTTAGTGGGGAGTTACCAAATGGAAGAAGGTGAATGTGAGAATAAAAAATGTTGGGGATCAAAATAAATTTAACTAAAAAAATGAAGTACTGACAAATTAACTTTTCAAAAGTTCGGGGCTGTGTCCGTCCTGACCCCTGGCTCCGCCTACGATTATAGCCGTTGGAGATATCTCTAGTATTTGTAGTCCTTCTCAGTTGATACCCTGGATCCCTTTCAAAGGCTCCAGAAGAAACCTTTGGCCGGAGAAAACCCCAAATCGTGGAGAAGAGAAGAGGGTTCAGACAAGTGCCAACTGCCATTAGAGTTTGTTAAGGTAAATTTGACGAGAAAGGCAACGACATGGAGGAAAGGGACTGTCTATAGGCTAAATCCTTTCAAAGAGGCTCTCGATTCGAATAAGGTATGTCTGAATCTTGGATTGATTTTCTCTTATTGAGTATATCTATGATTTCGTCACTCAATTCCATGTAATTTTACTGCTCAATCATCTGCATATCCGATTCTGAATGGTAATTGTATGGGATATTGGATTCGATTTAGGGTTTTAAAACCCTGATTGGAATCGCAAATCAGTCTATGGTTTTCTGGACCTATTACAACCCTTATGCAAATCGCAACTTTTGAAGGAAAGTTGATCTGTGATGTTGGGTTCACCTAGGGTTTGTCAAAATTAACACCACTCTTATGTAAACCTCTTAATTTTATTGACTGAAGCGAATACAGGATAATATATGGCATGAAGCTTCAGATTCATGCTTCCCCTTAATGGCTTTTAAGTTACCTTTGGCTTGATAGCTCAGATTTTTTGATTAAATATGTCCACACATCTTTTCTCTGATTAGAAATACTTGAATTTCTTGATTGTTTGACTTGGGCATACTGTAAAACATTGTTGTCATGTGTCCTCCCAGTAGTAGAATGCTATTGTTAACCCAGATTATGGATGGCTACTGGCTACCATCATGTAGTTCCTAGTAGTAGAATGTTGTGGATGGCTACTGGCTACTAAGACGTAGCTCCTGGTAGTAGGCCACAAATGCCTTCAGGTCACTGATAGATAGCTCCTAGTGGTAAAGTGCAACAAATGGCTGCTGGCTAATAACATGTGGCCCCTAGTGGTTAAGTCCCACAAATGGCTACTGGCTTCTAACATGGAGCTCCTAGTAGTAGAATGTGGTAAATGGCTACTGGCTACTAAGAAATAGTAGCTCGTAGTAGTAGAATGCTATTGCTAACCCAGATTATGAAAGGCTACTGGCTACTAACATGTTGCTCCTAGTAGTAGAATGTTATGGATGGCTACTGGTTACTAAGACATAGCTCCTAGTAGTAGGCTACGGATGACTACTGGTTGCCAATAGTAGCTCCTAGTAGTAGAATGTGACAAATGGCTAATGGCTACTGCATGCGGCTCCTAGTGGTAAAGTCCCACAAATGGCTGCTGGCTACTAAGAAATAGTAGCTCCTAGTAGTAGAATGCTATTGTTAACCTAGATTACATAAGGCTACTGGTTACTAACATGTAGCTCCTAGTAGTAGAATGTTGTAGATAGCTACTGGTAACTAAGGTGTAACTCCAAGTAGTTGGCCACAGATGACTAGTAGCCATTAATAGACAGCTCCTAGTGGTAAAATGTGACAAATGGCTACTGGCCACTAATAGATAGCTCCTAGTGGTAGAATGCAACGAATGGCTGCTGGCTACTAACATGTGGCTCCTAGTGGTGAAGTCCCACAAATGGCTACTGGCTTCTAGTGTGTGACAAATGGCTACTGGAGTATAATTTCATTGTTAACCCAGATTATGTAAGGCTACTGGCTGCTCACATGTAGCTTCTAGTAGTAGAATGTTGTGGATGGCTACTGGCTACTAAGGTGTAGCTCCTAGTAGTAGGCCATGAATGACTACTGGCTACTAACAGGTAGCTCCTAGTAGTCGAATGGGACAAATGGCTACTGTCTACCAAAATGTGGCTCCTGGTAGTATAGTCCACGGATGGCTACTAGCTTCTAATGTGTAGCTCCTGCTAGTAGAATGCGACAAATGGCTACTGGTTTGGCGTGGTTTGGCATCCTCCATCCATTGTTTTCTATACCATTTTATTGAATTTCCTGTTAATCACCACTCTAATTTATCTCTTTGCTGATTTTCAGCTAGATCAAGGAATATGACAATCCATTTAGGGAAAAGGAGGCACACAATTTCAGCTGGCAAAAGGAGATTTGTGATGATTAGGTAAATTTTCTTCATATTTTTTTTCTTTTTTTAGTTTTTACCTTTTCTCCAATGTCTTATGCAACTAATATTAGCTACTGATCTATGTGCAGAATTTGCAGGGAATGTATTCTGACTTCTAAGGCATGCTAAGCCACTTTTAGGACATGTCCATTGTTAATTGAGAGAAGTAAAAACCTATCCTATCATTCATTTTCTGCCCATGTTTGTCTCATGAACACCTTCCTGTTAATTCTTTACATGTGCATGATTGGTTGTGAATAACATTTTTGCTAATATTTAACCTGTTTAATGAATTAATTTATTAGTTTATATTTATTATTGTTTGATCAATGTTCTAGATACCAGTAATATTGGTTTGGTAATGAGTGTTGGTAACTTCCAAATGAACTTTTCTGCTGCTGGTGGAATATCAAGTGGGTTAGTAATGCTTATTCTAGTGGTGCTACTGTCCATGCTAACTTATCACTTATCTGAAAATATTTGCACTGACAAGGCCCATGTTACCCTTGACTATTCTCTTTGATTATTTTATGTTGTTTACCAATTTCAGATCAAGCTTGACAGATGGGGACTATGGAGATAGCTCATTTGCAAAATGGCTGGTATCATCAAATGGATTTGTAAATTTGACTTTATTTATTTGTTGTTTAGGATGGGACTGAAGATAAATTGTCAATACTTTCTTTCGGGGTAAGTGGGGTATATTTTCATTTATGAGTTTTCTGATTTCTAATGTGGGAAGAAAATGGCTTGTATAGCAAAAATGGGTTAACCTCAATCTCTGTTGCTTGGGAATTAAATCTAGCTTGAAGAATGGTTTTGCAGTTGTCTATAAAAATGAATACTTTATTTTATGCAAAATTGTTACATTAGTCTTATATCTTGTGTTGTTAGCCTAAGCTGCCCTTTGGTCAAGTTTTTTGCTTACAAGAAGTTTCACTTTCTTTTCATATGGACTCACAGATTTGCCTCCTATATTTTAACCTCCCACTGGTGTTTGTGTTGATTTTTATTTGCACAAGGAGGGCTGTAGACTTTCTTTCTTATCCTCCTGATGAGTTGATAGGAGTATGTGTGTAATTTTTGTTCTTTTAGTCTTCTCTTTTAGCATGTCAATATTTGCAATATGGTTTGTATGCTATAACTCTTTACAGAGTATTATCTTGATGGTACATTTAGCTTCTTCTTGGTTAGGCAATTTGGTGTTCATTTAAGCTTGCTAGTGAGTTATTTGGCTTGATTAAAATTTCCTTTTGACTAGTATCGGGATGAGAACTGTTTCCTGCTGCATAGCCATTAACTGGTGAGATTTCTTTTTTCTATCTATGGCCTGTTGCTATATATATGACATCTCTTTATCTCAGGACAGTTGGGTCATTTAGATCTTTGAATACTGGTGATTGGGTTTTTTATCAAGCTTTTTCTTTATTTTATCTCTTGTCATTCAACAATTGCTGCTGGAAATGAAAACTTCTTTCTTTTTTTTCTTTTTTTTTTATAGGTAATCTTTTTCATAATGCCAGCAGAAGTATCATTAAATTTTTTTTCTTGTCTAAGCAGTGTGTTTGTCATCACTTTCTTTATAGTTTTGGAATTCTATGTTTGTGTTTGTTATGCAAGGCTAAGGAAAAATATAATTAGAAGTGCAGTTAATGGAAGGTCTTCTGTTGAGCTTGCAACGTTTTATTCCTGGTAAGTAATGTACTTCCTTAGCATTAGAAGCTTTACTTTGGCCTTATATCCATACCCTGGAGTATCTGCTTTTTCTGGTATCTTTTTTCATTTATCATGTATAAATTGTGAAATGATTTTCATGTTGTAGTTTTGCTTATTTTAGGTTTTTCAAATTGATTATTTTCTGTTAAGGTGTTGACTTTTTGGTGATGTTAACTCCAAATGTTCTTTGTTGAAAATGCAAAATTTTTTTTCTTGTCGAAGCAGTGTGTTTGTCATCACTTTCTTGATAATTTTAGAATTCTCTGTTTGTGTGTTTGTTATGCAAGGCCAAGGAAAAATATAATTAGAAGTGCAGTTAATGGAAGGTCTTTGGTTGAGCTTGTAACATTTTATTCCAGGTAAGAATGTACTTCCTTGGCATTTGAAGCTTTACTTTGGCCTTATATCCATACCCTGGCATATCTGCTTTTTCTGGTATCTTTATTCATTTATTATGTGTAAATCGTGAAATGATTTTCATGATCTAGTTTTACTTATTTTGGGGTTTTCAAATTGACTATTTTCTGTTAAGGTGTTGACTTTTTGGTGATATTCAGTCCAAATGTTCTTTGTTGAACATGCAAAATTTTTGTTAAACTTGAATGGTATTACTCTCACTTTTGTAATGTTTTACACATTGAAACCCACCTTAATAACATTTTAACATATTTTTCAATATGTATTTGTTGCTTCTTAAGCAATATATCTATTTGTGGTGTTTCTTGGTGAGTGCTTTTAATCGTCATTTCTTTTATTTTTCTCTGGTAAATTTGTGTATGGTAGTTCCCTTTCTCTATGCCTGGGTACAACTAAATCTAATTAGAGGTGCCCCCCCATGGTTTCTCTCTTTGTTTCTTTTCTTCATGGTTCCTATAAGCTCAAAAGGTATTTTCATTGTTGGAACAACTGATGAGGGTATTGAGGTTTCTATACATCTCATTTTGAAGCAGATTACTTTTTATTTTATTTTATTTTAATTAATTGAATCCAAACTAGGATGACAAGGTTTGGCTGGTTTACCTTGTCCAAACTCAAAGCTTTGTGAGGTCTTGCATTTATGTCTTAATGGCTTTTTTTATGGTTATTTGTGTTTTATTACATTTAATTAAGCTCTTCATGATTCTTTGATTTTTGTTAGGAGTTACAATGTTTTGGCATTTTTTTGAAGTGCTGGTGTTTTACATCAAGAAGATTGGTAATATGAACTCAACCGTGGAACTACTCTCGTGTGATTGGAATTCGAGGTTTCTTTACAAATTTCACACTCTTTCTATCAGAGGCTAGATGATGCTGATCAGTCTGGTGGTGGATAAGGATTCAAGATTCTATCTATTAGTATACACATCATCATGTTAAAGGTGACTATTTAATGCTTAATGATTCATCTCTAGGTTGGAGGTAATTTGTGATATGTTAAGGAGTACAGGAAATGGTTTTCTTGGAATCCATTCTGAAGATATGAATTGTCTCTGAAGATAATTGGTTGTGTGTTACATTGGTTCTATAAATAAGGGTAGGTGGATTAGGTTCAAGGAGTTTTCAAGCAGCTCAATTATAATATGTAGATTATGTGCTTGGTTCTGCCAATGAGGGTAGGTGAATTACGTGCTAAATTGAATTCAGGTGGATTCACTTGACCATTTATATGATAGAAATCCACTAAATGAGACTTTTTAATTACTCCTCGTTTGGCACGATTATTCTAGGCTTTGAAATGACTGAGTTTTTGTTTTCTTTTCTATTGGAATTTGTTTACATTTTATATGCATTATGATCATCATGACAAACTTGGGGCTTGGATTATGCAGCAATTCTGCTGCAACTTACGATGCCATGGCAGGTAATATTTATTTCAATCTACATGCAATCTTATCTATCTAATGCTTGCATTTGGTTTGCTGTGTGAACTAGCAATTCACTTTTTTGTGGAGTACTGCATTTTTTGTCCCTCACCATTGGTTGCATTGCCTTTTAAGATATAGAAACCCTAGATGGAATAAACTAGAAAGAGCAAAGGTTTGATGTAGGGTGGCTCTTGGTTAGCAAGACCCTTCAACTTTTGATGCTATGAGCAAGTAATATTTATTTCAATCTACATGCAATCTTATCTATCTTATGCTTGCATTCAGTTTGCTGTGTGGTAGAGTCCTGCATTTTTTGTCCTTCACCATGGTTGCATTGCTTTTAGGATAACTCTGGATGGAATAAACTAGAAAAAGGAAAGGTTTGATGTAGGGTGGCTTCTTGGTTGGCAAGACCCTTACCTGAAAAATTGATAAGGGATCCTACTTTACCTTTTGTTTGCCATTGCAACTTATGCAACATCTTGGTAACTTGAAGCTTAAAAGCACATATTATAAGAGAATTTGATTTTAGCTCCTTTTTGCCATATAAGTTGACTAGATTCTGATATATTCTACTCTCTCTTTTTTTTCTTTTTTTTTTTCTGGCTGTTGTGCTATATTCTGTTATTTAATCCTGGATTTTCAGGGAGAACTTAGATGAAAAGACGAGCAATTTCTTCAAAGATGCTTCTACCATTCTGGTCAGTATCATTTTGAGGAGAACTTGCTTAGCTAGACAATAAGCTAAAAGAGCATGAGGTAATTATAGCATAGTCCATTTAATTGCTTTTCTCTCTTTTTAAGCTTGAAGTTAAAGCTGATCTGGTCTTGATAGTTTATATGGAGACTTATGGCCGCGCAAAGAATCAGCCAAAGGTCAGATATACTTTCACACAAGAATTGCACTAAATGGTAAAAGAATGTTCTTTATCAGTATGTGTTTAATTTCGTTGAGATGTCCTTGGATTGTTTGAGTTGATAAATTTACTTCAATTTTTCAGTATTTTCTGAGCTGCCAAGTGTAAGTTGATACAACGCTTGAGCTCCTTTAGGAAATTCAATAGAGTAAATAAAGTTTGAGGATGGAGATTTGTAAGAGTACAAGAGAAAGTGACCAAATTTTGCACTTGATATTATCCTTGAACCTTAGTGAGTTCTCTTTTCTTGCCAAAAGGCAATAAAAGTTAGCATTTTTCCTTTTCTAAACAGAGATTGTTATTCCATTGCTCCTATTAAGTACGTTTCATAACTTCTACATTCTTAACTCCTCCTTTTTTT